GGCCGACCCACCTTGCTGGAGGCCAGGAGATGCCGGCATCTCTACAAAATAAACTCTGATGACAGTCAAAGTTTCATCAAAATAGAGACATTTTCTTGTAGTACTTTACCACAAAAGTTTTACTTTTGTATATTTGGTAAAACTGTGCCAGTAATCCAATTTACACAATACCGGTTTTATATTGATGTATTTCAGTATTATATTGCAATTATCTTCTACCAAGTCAAGATGCAATAATGACAATTAACAAGAAAAACAATAATTAAAAATGTCCAATACTCAGAGGTTCTCACACTCAAAAAACAGCAATTAGAGAACAATAAGCTTTGCAGTGGCTTATTAAGCATCAATCTTTAGACTTCTTGGGCCTTTACATATTACAATGAGAAACTGATAAAGGAATATTACATAACTCTTGGGTGTGGAACTGAAACGATTTCTATGCAATACAAGACAACAGCATAACATCCAAATCCCAAAGAGTAAAGGCTCACCCAATGAACTGAGAATCAATTTGTGATAGACTTTGGAAGGAATACACACAGCAATCAACTAATCGGAAGTATCAGATATTTTCCCTGTCCTACAAGATCTACAAAGCCCAGCTAGTGTGAAACCTGAGAAAGCCATCACTACTTTAAAAGTTTAAAATTGGATAAAAGACAGTGTATAAATGTCCTATTGCTGCTATAACAAATTATCACAAATATAGTGCCTTCAAGCAACACAAATTTAAGTTGCAATTCTGGAGGTGAGAAGTCTGAAACAGGTCTCACTGGGTTAAAATCAAGGGGTGAGCAGCGCTGTGTTCCTTCTAGAGGGTCTATGGGAGAATTCATTCCCTGGCCTTTACCAGCTTTTAGAAGCTGACTGCACTCTTTGTCTCATTTTCAAGGCCAGCACTGGACAGTCAACTTTTTCTTACATGATACTGACTCCCCTGCCTTGCTCTTTCATTTATAAGGACTCTTGTGACTATACTGGGCCCATCCAAATAATCCAGAATAATCACCCCTTTTAAAGTCCTTAATCACTTCTGCAAAGACCTTTTTGCCATGTAACACACATAATCACAAGTTCTGGAGCTTAGGATGTAGTGGTCTTGGTGGGGTCATTATTCTGCCTCCTGCAGGCAGCTCAGTGTATAATCTGTGCAGTCGGCAATCCACGTGAAAAGTAGTTACGGAAATACAGCCTTTATGTATCTATGAAACTGAATTTAGTGTAGTTTCTGCAATGCGTGTAGTCTATAAAATTCACCTGGAATTAAACTGTACCTGAACTGAGTTCTCTGGGACCTGGAAAGGGGATGCAAGAGAGAGCAAGAGCAATAAAACCGGCAGGCTGTCACAGGAAATTCGGGGCTGGCTGCAGGCAAAGACAGCTGAGGCTAACTCCATGTGCACGACATACTAACTCTGAATGAATTCTGTTACACTCCATAGTTCTATTGTCTTTTCTCAACAATGATGTAACTGTGTAAAAACAAATTTTTGGTGATTTATGATCGATGAATTTTCATAATTAGAAATTATAGATACAAACACCCAACACACTACTTGGCACATTCTAGAAGAACAAAAAAGTGTTGAAATTTAAATTCTAGGTTCTAGAGTCTGATTCTGCCACTTACTATACCTGTGTGGTCCTCAGCAAGTCACTTGTAATTTCTGTGGCTGTTCTCAGAAATTAAAGGTAGAGATCATGTATAGCTCTTGCCCACAGGTTGCTCTAAAGTAGAATATATAAGTGCAAAGACATGCTGAGCCACTGTTGGCACTCAAAAACATATTAAATAGTTGTTACTAGGTGAAATAAGTCAGCCAGAGAAGAGACATTAGTGTAAAGCTGTAAATTCTTAGATATTTATTCCAAAGAACTGAAATCTGGACTCATCAGACTGAAACATAAAACTGAAGAATTTAGGAATGACTGTCACAACTGGATAATTACTAAGTTTCAGCACAAATCTTACACAACTATTATTTATGATAAGATGCAAAATTCCAAAGCTTTTCCAATAATATTTTGATGAAATATAAGATAAAATCATGCATCATCATAAAAACTTGATTCCCCTGCGAAGGAGCTCTAATGGGAAAGCAAAAAACAAAAACAAAAACAAAACCTCCCAAAGAGGTTCCATGTATGCACCAGGCACACACTGTGCTGGCCAAAGGAACGAGAGTTAAGATCAAAGCCATGAATTTAGAAAGTCATTTCTTTTCTTTAGAAAACTGACTGAACGATATTAGCCCCTTGTCTGAATTAAGGAGAACACCACTGGATGTGTAATCATAGTCTTTTTTTTTTTCTTTTTTATCCTCACCAAAGGACATTTTTCCATTTTTGTTCAGATAGAGTGGGAAGAAGAGAGAGAGAAACATCAATGTGAAAGGGACACATCGAGTGGCTGCCACCCGCACAACCAACCAGGGCCAGGGACAAACTGCAACCGAGGTACAGGCCCTTAGTGGGAACCGAACCCGAATCTCTCTGGACCACAGGCTGATGCTCTAACCACTGAGAAAACTGTCCAGGGCTGTAATCATAGTCTTTATGGAAGCGTGCTGTAGGACATCAATCTGTGCTGTGCTCTAATTTAAGTTTCTGTTTTTCCTGCTTCAACCTTTCCAGCCAAGCTATCCAAGTTTCCTAATTAAAATATCTCACCTATAGTGAGTCTTTCCAAGGAGTTGAGGTACATGGGCTCTGGCACGAGGGTTATGTACATTCCATCCATGGTTCTTTGGGCTTGCTTTCTGTCTATATTCTAAATGCATGAGATGATTAGACAGCCACTTTGAAAACAGGTGAGTTGTAATTTTATCTAAGCTCAATATGTTTCATAGGATCTTGGGTGAACTGCACATGTCATGAAATCTCCAGAAGCATCATTTATAATTACTTCTTAATCTAAAATAACCAAAAAGTAAGGTAAGATAAAGTTTGGCAGAATCTTCTCTGCACACCAGACCTACGGACTATGAGAAAATCTTAAGACTGTAGAGAGGCTGTCAGGGAAAAAAAATTAGTGATGTTCTCTTTCACTCACATTATTTTTGAAAAGAAGGAAATAGGAGTACAATATTTTCTGGCAACACTAAAAGTATAAACTCCCATCAACTATGCAGAACAATACTAGTTAGGCTTCATGTAGAAAAGTATATTATGGGATTTGCTAAATCTGAACCCAAACAGCAGTAATCTTTTGCTAGAATTTTAAGTGATTATTTCACTCTTTCACTTTATTTACTAGTGATGGCGAAGTCCCTTAAAACATATACGAATGCTGTTTCTGGGTCTAGTAAGCGGATTATGGTTGAAAAGCACACTGCCAAGACAGTCAGAAAGAATTTCCTAAAAGGAAGACTCTATAGGACGAATTATTTCCCTGGGCACTGTTCATTGAAACGTTCTCCTGTAATGAGGTCTTGGATGAGGTTGGGGTGAGTGAGACATTTCCTTCTGGCTCTTCTTAAACTTGCCACTTTTCAGCTTTTCATTTTAATACAGTGGACAACAGTGAAGTTTGAGACAGGAAGACCTCTTTCATTAACAACCCAAATGCCTAGCCTATTTCAAAGGAAGAAGACGGCTGTAGAGAAGGAGCAGAGCATGAAGCAGTGAGACTCAGAAGTGAAAGTCCTCCTTTAAAGTTACGAACACAAATAATACATCATTACTTCCTGTGAGACCCAACAGCCAACGAGAAGTACGCATCAAAATCATGTACAGCCAGGGTCAAATGTAGACAATAAAGCTTTCTTTTTTACTCATTAATTCAGTAAATGTTCTTTGAGAATCAAGTTTGAGTAAGATACTGTACCAGATATTATTAATACAAGGAACACAAAAGAAATAAAAATCTCCTGGTTTGTGTCCTCTAGGAGCTTACAATCTATTTAGGGAGACAAGTCCCTTATGAAGTAGCTACTTACAATGCAAGGCAAACCAGGATTGAGTCCCAACAGAAAATAGGAAAAATAAGTGGGCAGAATGTCTGTAAAGACTAATTAAATTTGAAAAGTCCAAAAAGATCTTATAAACAGAAAAAAGAGTAAATTTTACCTAACTTCAATAAATCACTTATTTACTTTCCAGTTCAGTGGGTTAAAACACACACACACACACACACACACACACACACACGCCCACATTCCTACCTGAGACCACAATAAACAATGCAGAGAAACATGTTCGCAGACATGCACTGGCCTAGTGCACACAGGATGCACAGCAGAAGAAACTGGGAAGTAAGGATCTCTCAGGGAGAGCTACAGTTTAATCTGAAGGACACATTATTCATTGATAAGAGGAGCCCAGCACTGAAGTAGTAATACATAATGTCTCAACATCAATAAGCCAGCTTATTGCAACTGAATAGTTTAATCTATACCCTTTTCAGTTTAGTGTCAGAAGAAAAATCCCATTAAAACAAGACATTTGCAATGTGGTTATTCCCAAGTAGAGGGCAAAACATGGTCAAACTTTCTTGGACTGTTGAACTTAGTGTTGTACTTTAGCAATAAAAACAAAACTGTCATGAAAAATAGTTGTGCGTGACTACCTTAAGAAAATTCTTCAGCATATTTCTTTTTAACACTTTCCTCCCCACTGCATTCTCTACTTCGAAACATGTTCAAATCTCAGGTATTAAGTTGACTATTTAGCAAAGGCCAAGGATAAACTCCAGAGACAACAAGGACAGTGAGAACTCCAACAGCCTCAGAGACTGACACTAATTTACTGAGATGTATCAGGAACTCTTGGGAATGGTGTGTCTACTAATTAGGCTACCATGAACAGATTCCCAAATCTTGACAAAGTTTTTCCCAACATGTGATGCACAACTTTGATTTATGGGCTGTCCAGGTGAAACCTGAACAGATGGTATCATCTAATGATAACTGACACACGGATTTGTTAAGGATCTCAATCTCTGGAAAACACACAGCTCTGCGGAGGAAAACCAGAGGAACGTCTGTAGAGTCATCTACCTTATCTTTGTCTTCCACGACATCCGCCAAGATGTCATCTGGATCCAGGATTCCTCCATCTGTGTATTCTAAGTGGTGAATCTTCACCCAGTAGCCAGGATCCTGCAGTAGAACCATCAACAAGTTTCATGACTCAAACTTTTCAAAAAGGTAAAATACATTTTAATTTTAAAAGAAATAAACTAGCTCATTAAAATATGCTCTAGTAATAATAAAAATTGTAAACATCAAAATCAGAAGTTATCTATTTACTTGAATAAATATTTGGCATTTTTATCCTGTTTAATGTAAACCAGTAAATCAAAGCATACATATTCCATCAATTTTCCTGGAAGGTAAACTGCAATGCAAAACAATAACAATAACAACAACAACAACAACAAAATACTCAGCTATTTGAAAAGCACTAAGAATTTTGTATAACCTACAATTTAAGTAATTCCAATAATATTCTAGAAAAGAAAGATCTTCTTGAGAGTACTTTCTGAAACTGAGGATTGGAAGGTCAAACTGAGATCCCAAACCTGGGGGGCGGGGTGTCAAAAGGCAATAGCTATGACTTTGGAATATATGAATGAAGAGGGGTGACGACCGATCCCTTCGCCTGTTTGGATCGCCATGCTCTCTGCATGTCCTCAAAGCTAAGATTTGCAGTGATACTGGAGCAAGAGCTCCAGCACTGGTTTCCATGACAGCAACTCAAACTGTGTCAGAGTTTAATGGGGAGGTTCACTCAACTGGGGTACCAATATAGGAGATTTCCAAGCACTGCATTTTAAAAACTGCTTAGAAGCATAAAGCTTAAGGAAAAGAACCGTTTTCTCAATTTGATCAATGGCTAGATACATTGATACTACAGCTTGAAATTAAATAATGTAGCTCATTCAGTTACTTATGCACTGTAGATTTCCAGAAGAGATATATAAGTGAAACATTATAAGGATGGGACAAGAACATGAACCAATGAATGCAAAAAGCAAACAAAAAAAAATTAGCAAGGTTCTTACAGAATAGCCAAGCTATAATCAATTTGGTTCTGTGATTCTTAGAAAGCATCTCAAATTGGGAAACTTTTGAACTATAAATCAGTTTCCAATAAAGGGATACCAGTTTGTGAGAAGAAGGGGAAATTCTTCTAGGATAAAGCTCTAAACCTTTACTACACGAATCTTTATAAAATATTAAGAACTCACATAACCCACAGAATTCAAGTGCAGTTCTACAAAAACTAATAGAAACAGTTGTCATACAGCCTCCTCTTTAACTGTCCTGTACTATTAAATAAGTGAAGGGCGTGCCATTAAATAATAATTCCTTTAAAGCATCTATTCAATAGACTACTGAAATGTGGCCCAAGTACATAGCTTTTCAGTATCTGACTTGATAAAGTAATAGGCTTTAAAAATTCAAAGTAATTCTCCTTACCTAGGCTTTTGACATTTCAAAATTAAGTTTTCTATAGAGTACCTAAAGAGCTATTCCAAGCAAAAGAAATGAAATTCCTTTTGCCTCCAATTCTAGGCTTAAAAGTGGATATACTAATGATTTATTAGGAAACTTTGCCTGATTTTATTGCCCAGATAGAGATCACAAAGACATGAGCAGCAATTATACAACCAGGTAAGAAGAGCATAAGACGCCCAGCAATTAGAGTCTCTAATCAGAAATATTTCCCAACTCAAGGTGATTGTGCTATAAAAGGTGAGCTAAGAACAACAGACTGGATTCTAAATAGGGAGAATACTGGGGTAGACGAACACTACGCATGGCCACTAGACTATACAGAAAAGAGAGTAAGAAAGAACTTCCCCAGTAATCTTTGGAAGTTGAATCTTTTTGCTCTGACTATGCCACAAGCAACATACTTCTCCAAATCTACCAAAAACTTCTGACTGGAATCTATGGGGTACTACATTTTCCTTGTAAAAATAGCCTTCTTACAAAAGGACTTCAATATAATTAGTTTCTATTAACTTCCATTGAGTTAGTTTTTGATATATTACAGCACTGTAGATAAAATCTGTTGATTGTAACCATGTTTATAAAAGATGATGTATTCTAAAGGTTTGCTTTTTTATATTCAATTACTTAAAAGCTGAAGTAGTCTATGAAGTAGTCTCCTGTTTTCTCCTATTCTGTTTGCGGAAGCAGATGTTATCAACTAAGACTGAAGCAATCAGTTACCCCCAACAACTGCAGTACAAGTTCAAGTACACTTCTCTTCCTGCCTGGACGCAGCGGCAGAGAAGAAAACCAGACTCCATTTAAAATAGGGAACCCTAAGAAACAGCAAGGGGTAGGATCGGATCAGTGGCAGAGGGAGCAGCGGACAAGTGGCAGCAGGATGGGGTTGGGTCACGCAATGCCCTCAGATGTGCTTGTGGGAACTAAGATGTGCTGAAATGAGGCTCGGGCCTTGAAACTAGGACTTTTTTTTTCTCTGCGCGGCTGGTGTGGCTCAGTGGACTGAGCGTCCCATGGACTGAGTGGTCCCAGCTCGATTCCCCGTCAGGGCACATGCCCGGGTCGTAGGCTTGATCTGCACTTGGGGGCAATGTTTCTCTCTCTCTCCCTTCCTCTCTCTCTAAAAAAAATCAATAAAAACATATTTTTTAAAAGACTGTTTTCCCTCTAATTTTGATTCAAAAGAGTGCAGAATTTAAAAGTTTTACAGAACTAAATCAAAGGAAAAAAGTCATTTGATGTATTTTGGAATCATACATTCAGCCCCTCTTCTCCCACAAAACTATTCAAGCGAAATACACGGTTCCAGAATATAAAAGGACTGTTTGCAATCTTAACTCTCCTCATTGCACATTGATAACTGCATTTTATACACTCCCAAGAAGGAAAGATTGGGCTAATGGTGAGCACACATGTAATCCTGAACAAAAGCAGATAAGCTATATGAAAGCAGTTGCAGTTAATATTCTACACATCCAAAAGAGGTAAATCAACAAATACAGCTGTGACTTCTGTCCCCATGGTATTTCAGCCATGGTGCTATAGCACTATAGATCACTATAAAAATATATATACAGTATTAGCAGCTGACAGCCATCAAAAGACCATAAATTCACCCTGACTCCATTATGCATGTAAAAATTTTCACCATTGCCTTGCGGTCAACATTTTACATTTCATTTACTTGCTTTTATTACCATCAGAAATAAAACTGATCAAACATGAAAAGATGTTCACATACATGTCATGGTTCACACAATTAATCACTTGGAAAAATTTACTGTATTTTTCATGATCATGACATTTAATCTACCTTTATACTGCAAAAATATCTCTAATATATATAACTTTAATATTACTTTGAAAATGTCTCTAGTATATGTGCTATGCAATAAATCTTATTACTTACACTCCCAGGATCATTAAAGTATTGAAAAATCATGTAATATACATTATATTTCTTCTACTGCTGATAGTGACTTATCTGTTTTTTAAATAATGCACAGTTAACTAAACCCTGCTCAAATTGTAAAAGTCTACAAGGGTGAACTGGAACAGGAAACTAAAACATACGCATTACAGGAAGAAGATAATTACTGGCTACTTTTAATGATTGATGTAAAACTTGTTCCAAACAGGCATTGGTATTAATAGCAACAAATACTCTTCACTGTGGGTAGATGACATGAAATTTGCCCCTATAACTTAGAAAATTTATATTAGCCAAAGTTTTGAAGAACAACAATTTTCCATCTGCAATACCTAGAAGAGTAGACTGGCAAATCAGGTACTATAATGCTATGATTACTGAGCACAGATATTATGTCAATAATCGAGAAGGAAAACGTGGATGTTTCTAAACAGAATGCCTCGGGTCCAAGAAAAGAAAAAACACCCTGCCATGGTGGCAAGGTCCAGAAAGGAGGGACTCTCTGCAAAGAAAAAGCCAATGTCTAGAGAAGGGCTGTGTTTATCAGCCATGGCAATTACAGTGCTCAATGATGCAACTGATTTTTTGTGGCTTTGTGTTGTCATAAGAATAATTTTATCCTGTAGAAAATAAGAATGATTGTAAAATGAAAGATGTGATAATTAGGATTTTCCTCGTAGAATTTAAGTTTGTGAATTTAGTGCGATATATCCATAAAATAAGATTTCACCATTTTCATCATTATCTTCATCATCATCATAACAGATAATGTTTCACTGCTTACTACAGGGCACATACTATAAGAGGTACTGCATTGTTTTATAGGATTAACTCATTTATCCTCAAACAGTTATGAAGTGGTTATCAATCCATTAAATAGATGAGGAAAGCAAGGCATAGGTAGGTAGGTAAATTAACTAACCCAAGGTCAGATGCTTAATAAACAGCAGAAATAAACTGCATTATTTTAACAAAAAAAAATTAGATTAAAGAACTTAACAACAATAAAAAAAAACACAATTATCTAAGAATAAGGCAGTGGATCATATTCATTTTTATTGCTACTTAACTATATGGATCCAGGTAAATCATCACTACTCTGGGCCTCAGTTGCTTCATCATTAGAGAACCTAAAGGCTCTGTGGCCATCTGTACAATGTACCACATAGAGGTCAAAGTGTAGAGGGCACAAAAGGGCATTAAAACTGTAAAGTCTTTGCATAAGTGTATCCAGTGTTTCACAAGTGAGGGAAAGTTCCAAACGTAATTCCTTATAATCGTGAAATTATAGATTTGGTAAGCAATGAAAATAGATTTTCCTGCTACGAGCAGATAGGATAGAGAAGTATGAAGTTTCATATTCATGCACATTCTAACTAACTACTTCTGTCATAATCCTCTGAAGTTATTCTCCCTCTATCCAAGACCAGAAGAAAAGCGATGCCCCAGAATGTACCCAGGAGGGAGACAGCGGTCAGAGCAGGTCTGGAGAGTGTTTGGGGCAAACAGGGAACAGGAATAACCAAGGGCAGACAGTGTAGGGAAAACAAGAGGTGTGGAAAATGATGCCTGAGCAAACACTAGCAGAGCAGCACTGACACATAAAGGAAAGAATTAAGCCAGCAAAGGCACAAGTGATTATAGAGCTTATTATGAGCTGCCCTAGCTGACTTCAGAACATGCCTCTGCCCTCCTGAAATGGGTCGAC